GCTGAATTTCATTTCTAGTATCAGTTTAAACCTTGTAATCTTCAATTTTGAGCCATATAACTCTGGAATTTGAACCTTGTAATATTTTGAGCTTTTGTGGTACAATTGATGAAATGGCATCGTATGAGACTCGTATATTGGTAGCACTATTTTTACCTTAATATGCAATGGACTTAGATTTTATTAACCATTCTTGAATGTGTTTACCTTTTCGATCTCATAGCACACAATCTGTATAGCTAACTCGACTGCGATCTTTGACAATATTGCACACAGTTGGTTTTTCAACCGTATGCTCTGCCGAGCGTAGAATTAGTTATCGTACTCGAGTGTCCATCATCATCCTTCCGTGTAACTTTGACCTTATCACCCATGGGTAAACTTATGACTGAAGTCATTCCACACACTTCGTTTTTACAAAGCTTTTTGCCAATAAACGCCCATGATTTGTCCTTTTTCCAGCCAACATGTGGCCAAACTAGCCGGGCGGGAAGCTTGCATGGTAAACTGTGCGGTTGCGCGAGAACAGGCTCACCAACGATATATTTGGTGCCTCTTCGAGCCCATGCGTGGTCAAATGAAACGTGTGCGGTGTTCTCAAGCATGCACTGGAATCCTCCGCTATGAACGCGGTGACAAGATGTGACGTTTACAGGCCGGCCGACCCCCATTTGTTACAGCGGCCATTTAACCCTTGTGTTTCTTCAACCTTTCGATCGAGCCCCACTATTGCAAGAAGCACACCCACCACGACAAATTCTTAGAGGGTATCTTGCGCGGCTCCAATGACGATTTGAGCGGCTGCCGACGATGAGCAACAATTCACCATGCATGCCGTGGTGGACACCCACAGAAGGTTCACGAGCTCTCGGTGGTGGACACCAACCACCCGGTATGGGTGGAGCACTCCATCCACATCATGGAGCTGTTGCTTGCTGAGAAGAAGTACAAGGTGGTCGGGTTTGACCTTGAGTACACCCGCGCTCATGTCGGTCTCGTCCCAAGGTCGTCGTCGCCCAGATGTGCATGCGCAATCACGTCCTCATCTGCCACTACTGCCTGGCCACAAGGCCTTGCAAGCGTATCACCAGGTTTTTCAACAACTCCCATTACATGTTCGCTACGGTGGACATCACCAACGATGTAAATGTGCTCAAGAATTCGGGCATCGCCTGCCAGAATCTTGTCGACATCCAGAGCCAATACAAGATCTGGGGCAGCAACGAGCATGAGAAGAACTCACTGGTTCACCTCGCCAAGGCCATCATCGATCCTACTACAGAGACATGAAGGATTCCTGCAACAAGGACAAGCGTGCCTGGCCCTTGGCCTGGATGGAGAAACTCGACAAAGCTCATGCCGTGTACACGACCAAGAAGGCGTACACGAGTTACGAGATGTACAGGCGGATCGTTGATATGACAAAGTGTCACCTTCCCCAAAACGGCCAGGGATCCAGCCGAAAGTAGAGCAATGGCAAGCGTCATCGCAACAAGGAGTAGATGATTAGATCCTCGTTTCTCCTAGTTTAGTATGCATGTAATTGCTTACTTTGGTGTGTGGAAATATTATGTGTGTAGTCACTTGTGTAATTGTATGCTTAATCAGTTATGCAATGCTGTTTTTTTAAGTATATATGTTGATGCTCTGTAGACAGAGCGTAAATATTGTGCGAACAGAGCAAATCACTTCGCACATGGAGTAAACAATGAAACCCGTCGGCGATGTTTTCATCAATCACTCACAATTGTATGCCAGCAATTGTTTGCTCACAACACACACGGCTGGTTAACAGGAATCGTCTGTGTTGTTATCGTTCTTCCCACACATTTCCGATTACAGACTTGTTTGCTGAGTATCACACACATCTTGTTAAGTTGAACCGTTTTTGTTCTCTTGGCTCAGTGCAAACAGCTCATCCGAGTGAACTATATGCCATATATCGCACACACATTCATCGGGCTGACCGTTTCTTTTGTGTTGCCTAATCACAAACAGTTCATCCGAGTGAACTGTATGCCGTTTATCGCACACACCTTCATTTGGATGCCCGTTTCTGTTGTTCCGCCTCATCACAAATAATTTATCGGTGTGAATTGTATGTCGTATATCGCACACACCTTGATCTGATTGCCCGTTTTTGTTGTTCTGTCTCATAGCAAACAGTTTGTATGGATCAATTGTATGCCCCGCATCGCACGCGTATCTAAAATCTGAATCGTGTTTGATGTATCCACCATCACAAACGTTTTGCATTTTTTTGATGGTTTTTTACATCACCGTTTGCGACTAATGCATCGCACACAGTTTCGTCAAAGGGTCTCTGATCGTAGTGCCGCTTTAGCAGCATCCTGCAGTAGTGTCAGGTTGACCTGACGGTTGGGACCTACATGTCATTGGAACAATGGCTAAACTGGGTTAAGTTAATCTTAATTAATATTATTAGGAGGCAATGGGCCAATTGTCAGTGTCTCAGGGTGGGTGCTTAGGGCCTAACTAATGGTGCCACGCCGCGGCATCACCGGGGTTAGGCCATCGGCGACCATCCAGCGCGGTGGAGGTGCGCCGGGATCGCGCTGCGGGCATCGGCTGGGCGTGCAGCTTGGTTCTACGGCTAGCTGGATGTGTGCCACGTCCAGTGGTGCAGGCGGTTGGGCGCGGGGAGGCAGGGAACGACGGTGACGACGACAACCGCGGCGGCCAGAGTACGGGTGACGTCGGGCTCGGCGTTAGAGTGCACGGAAGGAGGAGTTGGTGGGCGTTCCGAAGCTCCTGGGGGCGTGCAGAGCACGGTTACGCGCTCGGTTTCGAGCCTCGGCGGCTGTAGCGACGTCGGTGATATCGTCGGCGATGTGGAGCTCACGGGCATGGTGGGGGGTCGGAGCTATAATGCGCGCGGGAGTGAGGGGAGAGGGGCAAAAGCAAGGGGAGCTCACGGTGGACTCACAGAGCAGGTTAGTGGGATCGGGGTCGCGTCGGAGACGGCGAATCGACGGTGGCGCTTCTCGGTGACCGACGAGGAAGACGAAGTCGATGGCGGAGCTGCAGAGCGTCCGGCGCTGCGTACGTCATTGTGGAGGACGAAGACGATGCGGTGGAGCTCGTGGACAGCGCGAGGGGGCGAGGGGGAGGCGGTGGTCGCGAGGTTCACGGTGGCGACCTCGCGTGGCTGTCGGCTGAGCTTGGGAACGAGAGGGGCCAGGGAAGGAGGGGGAGGACAGAGGGGCTCCAGGGCATCTCCAAACGCGGGATCAGGGAGAAGGACAGGCCTCCAGCGCGAAGCAGGAGGTGGCCGCGGGTGACTGCATGCTCGCCACGCAGCTGCCTCGCCTTCTGGCAGAAGGTTGAAGAAGGTTGCTACGCTGGTGGGCTGGCCCGGCTACATGAGTTGGGCCAGGTACAGTGCAGGTAAGCTGGGCCAGGTTAGGTCCTCTCTCTCTCTCTCTCGTTTATTTCCTGTTTTCTATTTTTATTCCTCTGTTTTGAATTAATTAAAATACTAATTCATTTCCAAAATTCCTAAAATAAATTTCGGGAATATTTTGAATTATTTACAACAGACCTCAATTGTTTTCAGAATTATTGAAGCATCTAAACTATTTATAGTCATTAAATGCTCCAATTCAAACACTTATGATTTAACCCAAAAATCCTTAAATGACCTAGTAAAAATATGCACAGAGGTTTTCACCCATTTAAAAAATGATGGACTTTTCTGAAGTCATTTTGGATTTATTGAAAATATTTTTAACTTGAACCTAGTTGAGTTATTTTAGTGCTAGGGTTTGATCATCCCCATTTCAAGTTTCTCTGAAGAATACCATGATGCATTATGCTTCTAATGCAACTATTTGCAAGAAAATTGTAGGGCTGTGACATTTATATATAAAACGGGGCGAAAGCCTTTTTCGGTAATAGCAGGGATCTTTTCTTAACCAATGGACAGTAGAAAATTATTCTAGATAGAATGGACGGAAGAGGATGCTACATGCACCTTGCAATGAAGGAAGGAGAAGCACCTTGATAGCTTGATTTATTTAACATTTTTAACAAGGATAATTTTTTGAGGACATGATGCAGTCAAGCAAAGCTTTTAATTATTCTCAGCACTTTTTGTTAGATGAAGAGTTTCAAAAGTGTTGATATGCATAACCGAAGTTTTCTAAGGCTGGTTTGCTGCATTAAAAGGCTAGTTCCTCACAAGGGTCTACATCTTCTCAGGTATGCAATGTACTCCCTTCGTAAAGAAATGTAAAAGCATTTAGATTATTAAAGTAGTGATCTAAACACTCTTATATTTGTTTACAGAGGGAGTACAAAACAGCTGAGGTAGGAGGACATTTTGTGCTTCTGGGTTCAAATCAGGTCTGCCTACTCTTTGCTAAGTAACTGTCACATTAATTATATTGTATGACGTACACCATGAGCTCACTTGTTGAATTGTGGCTACTTCATTTTCCATTGAAATAGCACACTCGTTTGTTTTCCTTTTTCTTCTTCTTTTATAGTCCTTGTCTGCTCTTGCAACCCTGAACTCACCTGTTTGTTTCAGAGAGAATTTGAGGGTGTTGTGAACCATTTCAATGAGAATGACAATATTCGGCTAGTTTTGAATTTATGATTATTCCATCACTATTTGAGCCTTGTGGCCTTTATCTATATAGCTTTAACTTATGAGCCTTCCAGTTAGCAGCCAGATAAGTCGAGCATGCCTGATTGTGTGCCCTGAAACATGAACGAGCATTTTATTTTCTTCGGCTGATTCAATTCAGTCCATCCTTTCTTCAGTAATCTTCCAGACCGTCATCTTGCAAGCATTTTCTTTTGGAAGTTTACCATCATTCTTGCTCGATAAACCAATCAAATACTGTTACATGTCCTCATCGGACGAATAATTGTACAGGTGAAAGAAAACCCGCAATAGCGCTTGTTTTGTTTCACACAACCCATGTCTGTTCCATACATCCCAAGCCCCACAGGGAGCGGGCATCGCCTCATATTCACTTGCCGGGGACGAAGTTGGTGGCGAATGCCCAGGCGTTGTTGTTGACGGGATCGGCGAGGTGGTCGGCAAGGTTCTCAAGGGGCCCCTTGCCGGTGACGATGGTCTGGACGAAGAAGCCAAACATAGAAAACATGGCGAGCCGGCCGTTCTTGATCTCCTTCACCTTGAGCTCCGCAAACGCCTCGGGGTCATCGGCCCGCCCGAGGGGATCGAAGCTACCACCAGGGTAGAGGGGGTCGACGATCTCACCGAGCGGGCCACCGGAAACGCGGTACCCCTCGACGGCGCCCATGAGCACGACCTGGCAGGCCCAAATGGCGAGGATGCTCTGCGCGTGGACAAGGCTGGGGTTGCCAAGGTAGTCCAGGCCACCTTCACTGAAGATCTGAGAACCAGCTTTGAACCATACAGCCTCGCCGAACTTGACGCCGTTGCGAGCGAGAAGCTCTGGGAAGACGCATCCGAGAGCACCGAGCATGGCCCACCGGCAGTGGATCACCTCGAGCTCCCTGTTCTTCGAGAACGTCTCCGGGTCAGCCGAGAGCCCGGCCGTGTCCCAGCCATAATCCCCAGGGAACTCACCGGTGAGGTAGGACGGCGCATCACCGGAGAGCGGGCCAAGATAGAGGACACGGTCCGGGCCGTACCACGGGCTGCTGGAAGCGGCGGGCTTGGCCTTGGCGGCCGTGTTGCGCATTGTGATGCGGCCCACGCCAAACACGTTGGAGGAGGCGATCTTGGCCTGCTTGGCGGCAAGGGCCGGGGAGGAGAGTGCCATGGTGGACGACGCCATTGCAGTTGCAGAGAACCCTCAAGAAGATTTGGTTGCTTGTCTTGTGCTTCTAAGCTGTGTGTGTTGTGGAAAACAGAGAGCTGCATCGGAGTTTAAATAGTGCAGGAGACTGTGAGGGGCCTTGCTGGCAGTGACGCCTTTGTTGGATGGATATGGGATGGGCCTATCCCTTGTTATCCTCTGATTGGACAATTCCTTTCTGTGATTGTGTCTTAGCATGCCACCTGTGCTTGCTGTGCTTACGTGTAGAGTGCAGCCATCAGAGAGGGGCGCAACCAATTGGAAGATGCCATGTGGACGTAATATCGATTCTCCATCTTGAAACGTTCGTGCAATCCTTAGATGCTGTGGTGTCAAATGACTGGATTTCATCAGAAATTAAAGCCAATTTGATCCATGGTAACAATTAAAGGCACGCAAAAGGAATTACTCTCTGGCACTTTGTTGAACATAATGGCAAAATGGCATACTTCCTATTTGATGGTACAATATACAGTAGGCTGTTATTTTTCTGTTCTACAACCTCTGTAAGAGCATCTCCAGCCGCGTCCCCAGAACGGCCTCCCCAGGCGTTTTTTTTGCGCCGGCGCCCAAAAAACGGCCCAGTCGCGTCCCCAGGACGCCGAATTTCGCTGGCTCGGCCCGATTTTGCGCCCGGCGCTCGCAGGCCGAACCCGGCGTATTGGGGGGCGCTCGGGGGCTCCGACGCAAGGGAAAAGCATTCCCGGGGCCACATTGGCAGGCAAAAAGTCAAGCCACCTGCCCAGATTCGCCTCCTACCCCCCGCGCTCGGCCGCCACCCTGCCGATCCCGGCGCCGTCCACCGCCACCGCAGCTAGGGAGACCATCTCCCACCGGGAAAGAGAAGGGGTTTCGCCGAGGTAGCCTCTTCACCGCCGTCCGGGCACCTTTTCCGGCGTTCCGGCCGCGCAGGGCCTGTACACCGGCGGGCTTGCGCCCACCTCGCCCACAAGGTGTTTGGTGAACTGCCCGGCCCGGCGATGGACTCCGAAGATGAGGAGGCGCTCGTGGCGTTGCTGGATGAGGAAGCCGAAACCGACGTCCAGGAGCAGGAGCATCTCATGGTGCTCGCCGCTCTCGCCGGCCTACTGGCAAGCAGTGAAAAGACCCGGCGAGGTGGCTCGGCGCTTGGGCGGGTGAAAGCAAAGAACCGGCATCGCCTGGAAGGCTACTGCATGCTCTACTCGGACTACTTCGCCGACGCTCCATTGCATAGTGAGAAAACATTTCGACGCCGTTATCGGATGAGCCGAAAGCTTTTCCTCCGGATTGTGAATTTCATCCGGGAGTTCGACAGCTACTTCAAGTGCAAGAAGGATTGCACCGGCACACTTGGATTCACCTTGATCCAGAAGTGCACGACAGCTATGAGGATGCTTGCATACGGAGCTCCCGGTGATTCACTCGGCGACTATGGGCGCATGGCCGAGTCCACCACCATTGAGTGTTTCTACAAGTTCTGTAGGGCAGTGGTGGCATTGTTTGGACCGCAGTACTTGCGAACACCCAATGCGGAAGACACTGCTCGGATCCTAGCACAATATGAAGCTAGAGGATTTCCTGGGATGCTTGGAAGCATCGACTGCATGCATTGGAAATGGAAGAACTGTCCATTTGCTTGGCATGGGTTGTACAAAGGCGCCAAAGGCGGTTGCAGTGTGGTGCTTGAGGCAGTGGCCACACAGGACCTCTGGATTTGGCACTCTTTCTTTGGGATGCCAGGAACTCACAATGACATCAATGTCCTGCATTGCTCCCTAATCTTTGTCAAGCTTGTTGAAGGTCATTCTCCTCCGGTGAACTTCGAGGTCAATGGACGGCAGTACAACAAGGGATACTATCTAGCTGATGGCATCTATCCGAGATGGTCGACATTTGTGAAGACCATCTCAAACCCTGTGCCAGGAGGCAAGAACGCCTGGTTTGCGAAGATTCGGGAGGCTTGCAAGAAGGATGTCGAGCGGGCATTTGGTGTGCTCCAATCTCGATTTTGCTATTGTCCGGTTCCCTGCTTAGACCTGGTCGAAAGATCAAATGTGGGAGATCATGACTTGCTGTGTCACCTTAAACAATATGATCATTGAGAGCGAGCAGGCAGAGCCAGTGTTTGACACTGAACCATATTACAAGCAGGGTCCTCTTGCCCAAGTTGATCACCAGCTACCGGCAAACTGGACTGACTACCTCAATACGCGTCAGGAGATCCAAGACCCATAGGTGCATCAAGAACTGCAACACGATCTGGTGGAGCACCTATGGAGGCTCAAGGGCGAGGCCAGGAATGACGTGTGATGAAACTTGAGTTTTTATTTGTTAAAATATATAATTTGTATTGAACTATTTTGTTGAACTATTTGACGGCGTGAACTATTTGTTGAACTATTTGATTTATGTGATGAAACACGCCGAAACACGTCAAACTATGTGACGAACTAATTGATTTCTATTTGTATGCGAAAATTCACGCCTAAACACGCCGAACCACGCCGAATATGAGCCGATTCACACAGATATCGGACCGTTTTTGGACATAATTGGGCCGAACACTGGGCCAAAATCGACGCCTCGGGGCGACCTGGGGGACGATGGCTGGGTGCCGAACCGCCCCCAGCGCCGAGTTTATCGCCGGCGCACCCCCAGGCCACTCTTTTTCGATGCCCCGGGAGGCGAACGGCTGGAGATGTTCTAAGAAAACATAAAACGGATCGTATATAACATGGGCGAAATTGGAGATCTGAAACTTTGCAAGTTTGCAAAAAGTATATTCATGCTGCATCCATAAAATTGTGTCAGAATTTTCAGAACTCAAATCCACTGAGCACAAAAATCTTGCCACATTCAGCTTCTGCAGTTCTATTTATATCAACATGTTGCTGATGCATACACAACATCAAAGGATAGTATCGAAATAATGATTTGATAATATAAACCGAGTAGCACCGAAAATTCGTTTCTGGTCCTGGGCACAGCTGAGGCCGGTATCTTAGCCATTCGTTCATCTTGGGATTCACGCATATTCCCGTATTTCTGACCGTATGCGGCTCGTCTTTTCAGCTGGATATTAGATGTTGGGCTCACGCATTTAGTTTAGGAACATCACCGCGGTCTGGGCATGTAGTCCTCTTGTGCCCTGGGAGCTTACATATATTGCAGAATCTCATCCCACACCGCGTTTTTTGGTTGGAGCTGATAGTCCAGCGAGCGCATCCCAGTTGCCAGATGCGGTCATTTTCACGCAGAAGACTCCTTTGAAGTATGGCTTCGCCCACTTATGATGTAACTTGTACAGGTTTGTCATGTAATTGTGGGATTTCAGATTGTATTTCTCAACAAGTGAACCCCATGTTGTCTCAAATTCCTCCACACTTATCATGTGATTCACCACTTTGTAGAACTCGGCCCTGAACTCGCTCTTGCTTGTGTCCAGTGGGCCAAGGTTTTCTTTTGCTTTTTTAAGAACATGCCACTTGCACCACCTGTGGACAGTATTAGGGAGCTCGCTTCTGATTGCTATCTCCACGGCTCTTGCTTGGTCTACAATATGGACAACATATTAAAACAGAGTCAAATATGTGCAATTATCTACTACTAATAGACATCTACATATGCGTCATTTTGCTTAGCTTGGCACAAACCTGTCGTCTGGGGGTGTTTGCCGCCCATCATGTTGATGAACTCAGAAAATACCCACTGGAAGCTCTCGACTTGTTCATTGCGCATCAGCACTCCAGCAAGTATTATGCTTTGAAAGTGATTGTTCACTCCAACGAACAAACCAAAGGGCATGTCATACAAGTTTGTCCGATACGTCGTATCGAATGTGACAACATCACCAAAAAACTTGTACTGCAACTTGCAATTTCCATTTGTCCACATAAGGTTTTTGATTCTGCTTTCCTCATTGCCTGGACCCTATATGTGAATTCCGGGTCGTTCTGCTGAATTTCTTTGAACACAGCAAGGGTTTTGTTGACATCATCATCAGCTTGGTCCCGGCTTATTCTCCAGCACAGATTGCGCAATAACCTTTTTGTAAAAGGAACGGTCTGTGTTGAACCGAAGAAGCTGCCAACTATGCTATACACCTTGTTGAGGTTCACATTGTTTGCCCTAAGCTGTTTCACCAGATCCTTTAAGTACACATCTATGTGTTTGTGGGATGGCCAGTGAACCTTTTCTCCGCATGTAAGAGACAGGGAATGATTGTGGCTCGACTGGTGCTTAGCAATGTACCATCCATTGTCTGCAGCTCTTAATAATCTGACCATCGCAGGGCACTTGCAACGGCAAGACCTGCTATTCTGCTGCTCAGGTTTCCCCTGCAAACATTTTTTTCAGTTGTCAGACATTAACATATGAAAATACGGAGGTCACGAAAATTAGTAAAATATAAAAATCTGTGTGAGTTTCAAGGTGCTGACCGAGCATCCACAAACAATCTCTTGCATACATTTAGTCCTCTCAACATTCAAACGACTCCAAGCTCCCACGAATATAGATTATAAAAATCGTATGCTTCTCCAAGGGAATCAAAATTCATCCCAATCTCTGGCTTTACTACACTTTCTGAAGGTTTGTCAGCATATCTCCTTATGGTTTCTTCCAATGGAGTTACTCTACCAGCACATGGCACTCTATTCGGGGGAGCACGCCCAATTCAAAGCCTGAAATTTGAGGGAGGCTCACTTTTCAGTTTGTGAAGCTTAGGTATTATCTTAGGAGTTTATCACTAGTCTAAATATAAATCTAACATATTTTTGTTTGGGAAACACTTATATACAGACATCTGATGGGTAGCATTTTTCAGACCGATCCTCGACCGTCGATTCATCTTTGATCTGACGGCCAAGAGAACCAACCAAAATCAAGCGACAATGTTTTTCTAAACTTTCCAATCTTCATGCCTATGATCCCGTGGTATATGCTTATCCCAAATTACTTGCTCCGAACCAACCCGGCCCCATCTCGGTGTCGTGCTC